TATATATATATATATATATGTGTGTGTGTGTGTGTGTGTGTATACACATACACACACATAAATATATGTGCTTAAATGTTTAGTTTTCTGAAATGACTGGAGTGGCTGAAGATCACCAGTAATCTACGGCGGTTAAGGCCACCATTGGCCACCCCAGTGGCTCCTCCCCTGCACCTAGTGGTGGATAAAATTGCTCCCTCTTCTCGACAGGATCCATCTCTCTGCGCCGCCTTAAACAAACAAGAAAACAAACAAACAAAAACAACTTCTTCTCCACAGTATGAAAGTAAAATCTTAACAACTCACCGTAAAGGGACATTTCAGATATTTTGACTCTGTAGGAAGGTCTTCATATCTGCCATAGATGAATGACCTCAGTTTGGAGAAATGTTTTTTGGTGACGTCTCATCGGTCTGCGGAAAACTGCAACTGAAAATAAGATACATGTTAAACTATGTAGACGACAGCATCATCATGTGCGTCAAACACGCGACTTCCAGGTGTGACGGCTTCAGGTCTCTCTTGTAAATGAGTCCCCGAGGCTCCATGGGATTAACCTGTATACATCAAGGTTGAATGAAAGTGTTCTCAGGATCTGCAGAGTGCTTCGTTAAAGTACTGAATTTGAACGTGGATCCACAACAAAGACTACCAAGACGATCTTTATTGTTTGTTTTCGTACTTTGCCTTGCGTACCTTTAAATAAGAAACGTGGACGGCAGCTGCCAAGGTGGGTAAACACCACAACAATATAATGTGCGCAGCCAAGAATACACTTAAAAATGGCTTTGTCGCAAACACCCAGAATTCACTGCGACTGGACGTGACCATCAGTCACATCAGAGAGACGGCGCCTTGAGGCCAGCAGGACTGACGAGCTGACGGCTAGTTTGAGTCTTTAAAATTTCATAGCAGTTCAAGTTAATACTATTTTAAAAACTTTTACACAAAGAGGAAGTTGTTTTTAGACAGCGGCACAAATCCATTTCCGTATTAGCCGCATTCAGATTGGCCGTTAGCTCCTCATTTGTGTTAAACTCAAGTTTTCTCAGAACTGAGGCTGTTCAAAGAGCTATCTACAGCAAGTAAGATGATGATCGCTCATAACTTTTCCACACGACTGTGCAGATTTAAATGAATAATAAACTCGATCAACTTGGATCCAGATTTCATGCTAGCAGTCAAAGCAGTTTGTCTGATGGAAACGCAACTTGTACTTAATAAAATATAATTCTGCGCCTCGATCGTCTGACGATAACCAGCTCTAATGGAACTGATCAGTCGATTGATTTCCCTTTCGTCTCTTATCAGAGCAGATTTAATTGAACAGAGAAACTGATCTGGTAAATCACAGCAGCCCAGTTGGTGTTGATTAAATGTGGCAGTCGTGACTGGTTTGTGTTACACTTGTTGGGCTGGGTTGTTGGAACAGGATGAAATTGATACATAAATCAACAAATTGTTGTTTCTTCAGTTGAAAACGGCAGCAAGAACAAGAAGCTACTTCTGGTGATAAATCCAGTGAATCACGAGCAGGTTTTTAATGTGAACGCACTCTGAGGTTCAGCTGGTGTTCGTCCTCCAATAGACGTGCCTCCTCATGTCTCCAGGAGAAAAAGCTCGGAGGGAAGAGTCACATTCTTCTGATTTCCATAGAAAACCGAGGAAGAACGCAGAATGGACGAGTGGAGGCGGATCGAAAAGAAAGACAAAAAAACAAAGTGGCAGGATGAAGCATCACAATCTCGTTAAAAAGGGACATGAGAGAAAGGGAGCCGGATATCCACAGTGGCTTTAACAGACTTTTATTAGAATGGCAGCATGCGTCTGCATTTACACGACACAACACATGTTTCCCTGAAGGCAACGTCAAAGTGTACAATTCAACGCATTTATCATGAAATCATTCGATGATCGTCTTGTGTGCAGCGTTGGAAGAACCCGACCTGCAACAGAACCTGCAGCTTCATTAGGATCAGCTGTGGCTCTTAGTGGCAGCACATGGTGGAAATGTGCGAAAAACTGCAAAGAATTTCCGTTGAAATTCGGCTAAATAAGAGAAAACGCAGCCATCTTTGGAGGTGTGGTTTCCAAAGAGGGGTCGGGAGCCCACGTGGCTCAACAAACAGCAAGTGTCGTCCGTGATCTCCAGAAATAATTTCCTTTTTCAATTCAATTCAAAAATACTTTATTAATCCCAATAGGAAATTAAATGTTGTTGTAGCTCATCATCCTGGTTTCATTCAAGAGTTGTTAGATGCTGATAGCTGTGGGCAGGAAGGATCTCCTGCAGTGAAGCTGAAGAATCTGGCCACAGATACCGATCTGTCCACCCGGATCCAGCTTGGCTCTCCGTCCTCCTGAGCAGCAGGTCTGCCCGAATGCCGGGCAGAATTCTTCTCTGAGCGATGGTCACTCCTCCCAGCAGTCTGCTGAGCTCCCTGGACAGACAGCTGAAGGTGCCGGGGGCCGAGCCCGGTCCTCCCCTTGCCAAGTTTCCCAACAGCTCCAGGATCTCGGCGGTCAGGTTGATGGGAATTCATCCACGGTGCCTCTTTTTCAACTCATTTGGGATTTGAGGCTTGAGGTATTTAAGCTTTTGAGATGTTAATCAGCTGCTCCTGGTTGTTTTAAAAAACAAAACAAAAAAAAAAACACCTTGTTGCCATGGTTACGCATCATAAAGAATGCCCAAAAGTAAAAAGATTTCAGTAAAAATATATATTTTTAAATTTAAAATACAACTTTAACAGTTGTATTTGTTTCCCGGCTTGTTAACAACGGTTGGACCTTTTGTGTCCAGCATTAAAGGGTCACATATCTCTGCTGATGCTGCTTTGTGGGTCAGAACCTGAAAAGTTTGGGACCCACCGCCCCGTCCTGCAGCTCACAGTACAAAGGTTTTACATGACTGAAGTGATTTTAAAATATCCATCCATCATCTTTAGCCGCTTCGTCCTTTTCAGGTCGCGGGGGTCACTGGTGCCCATATCCAGCCAGCACTGTGCGAGAGGCGGGGGACACCTGGACAGGTCTCCAGTCCATCACAGGGACACAAAGAGACAAACAAGACAAACAAACATTCAGTCTCTCACTCACACCTAGGAACAATTTAGTTACCAGTCAGCCTAACATGCATGTTTTTGGTCTGTGGGAGGAAACTGGAGTACCCGGAGGAAACCCACGCATGCACGGAGAGAACATGCAAACTCCACCCAGAAAGGCCCCTGGACCGGGGTTTGAACCAAGGACCTGCTCGCTGAGAGGCAGCAGCTCTACCAGTTGCGCCACCGTGCTCCATTGAAGAAATGTTCAACTTCATTTGATTTTGTTCCAAACACGAGGCCGTTTGTGACAGACGGATAAATAGTTTTGATTGACAGCTCAGCTGCCTTTTGTGGAGGTTGGAATGTGACAAAATAAAATTAATAAATACATCATGAAATAAATAAATGTACCAATAAATGTACCATTAAATAATTAAATATATAATTTAATTATTCAATGAACTAGTAAATCAGTAAATATACAATTAATTTTTAATGCACAATTAATTAATTAAATGTCCACTTACATAAATAATGCCATTAAATGATGAACTGTCATTTTCAATCATTTTTTAATTTAATTTAAAAATACATTTAATTATTTCACCGTGTATTAATTTATTTTATGGCTCTCATGAAGCAGTGTCATCATGAAATTAATTAATTGTGTATTGAATAATTTAATTGTAAATTTAATGATGAATTGAATAATTAAATTATACATTTAATTTAATAAATAATATTATATATAATAAATAATTAAATGATACATTTAATTATTTGATGGGACATTTATTGGTACATTTATTTATTTCATGAAGTATTTATTTATTTAATTTTGTCACATTCCACCCTGATGGAATGTGACAAAATTAAATAATTAAATACATCATGAAATAAATAAATAAATATAAATGTCCAATGAAATAAATAAATGTACCATGAAATAAATAAATGTACCAATGAATGTCTGTCAGTTATTTACATTTATTTATCTCATGATGCATTTATTTATTTAATTTTGTCACATTCCACCCTCCAAAGATGGAATGTGACAGAATTAAATAATTAATACATCATGAAATAAATAAATAAATATAAATGTCCAATGAAATAAATAAATGTACCATGAAATAAATAAATGTACCAATGAATGTCCGTCAGTTATTTACATTTATTTATCTCATGATGCATTTATTTATTTAA